GGCTGATGTGCTGCTAGGCGAATAATACAACTTTTGGATACTTAAGTGGGGGCATAACTTAAGGGCCATTAACTGTTTGAAATTATCTGAATATTGAAGTCTGTATTTCTACTGTTCTTTAAAGTATATTTTATTTATTTACAGAAATTTCTTCGTTGTGTTTTTTTTTATTTTAATTTCCTCTAAAAATTTGCCATAGATATATAAATATATAAATATTTATGGCCCTTGTCCTGCTTAAATTATGTTAGTCTTAATGAAATTATCTAAATATTTAAAATTTTATTTATTTACTTATTTCTTTCTGCTTTTATAATACATAATTTTCTCCCAAAAATATAAAGTTTTACAATACATATAGAAATATTATATTTATTATTATATAATAAATGTGGACTATGTCATTTTTAAGTTATATTAGTTCTGAAGTTTCTTCTATGATTCCTTATTGTCCTGAAAAAGACTTAAATAAAGAACCTCAAAAAATGTTTCGTGTAAATTAATTCAAGGTTAGTTTGTCTGAAAACTTTTGGGTCAATATTGCCACTGTCATGTCACAGCAAATTTATACAGTCACCTACAAGCAGTCATAATCTTTGCTTTTATTTGTTGTTCTTTGTTATCGTTAGCACTTTCATATGGATATTGCTAAATTTCAGATTTGCCGTCGCTATCATTGTCATTTTCTATGTCAAACAATTTGACAAATTCCTTCCCGCTATCAATGTCGTCGTGACAACCAAATATTGTCATAGCGACTGTCATATTTATTGTAACCATACTATGTGTGTATTTTTATTGCTTCAATAATTAATTGTTGACTTTTTCTCTACCGCTGTCAAAATTTATGTCATTATTATTGACATAGTCTCGTCAATTTCACTGACATGACGCTTGTGCTCATTATTATGCTCAATTCCATACTTTTTGTCATCATTTCGACGACTGATATCATAATTGCCGTTGTCATAATTTTTTTCAATGCCTCTTTGACTGTCAACTACTTCTCGTTCGTCATTATTGAATGTCAAAATAATCTTTATTAGTGTCATAGTTGTTCTCTGTATCACCATAATCTTTTTCCACCACTTCCACTTACATACAAATAGTTTCTGATAAAAAAAAAACCAAATCATCAAAACAAAAAATGAAAATGACAAGATATTTTCTCATAAAAACACCCGCTGACAAACCTTCACCCTATCCTAATAAGTGGTTACCGCGCGTGGTAAATATGCTACGCTTATTTACATATTAAAATACGCGCAAAAAAGCCTGAATATACCAGCATATGGGATGTGGCAAGTAGCTTGGTGGTTTCGGTTAGCAATGGCGGTTGCCAACAACGACCGCCATCAAACTATGTTACACCCAAACCAACTTTTCGCAGCCGGCAATAGTTCATTCAATTCAGTGTAGCCTTGCAACACGATTTTATATGGTGGCGCACTCGTTTGCTCTTCCTCAAATTGCATTTTTCCTCCTTATTAGCTTTTGTCAGTGTCGTCTGGCCGTTGTTTTTGCCGCCGTAAGCAATTTAAATACCTACACCTTGAGTATGTGCACTTTGATTGGTGTAGTATACTAGGGTATTGGAGTCTCTCCGTGCCCTGTGTCGGCATGCTTAGTCGTTACAAATATACTGCTGTGTACGTGCAACATTTAACAACTGCTTGCGAATGCAGTAATTTGCCTCTTGCTGTACGTGTATAAACTGTGCTAGCCAAAAGTAGTATATTTGTTGTTGCAACATGTCACTTGTATACGTCGTTGTTGCCTTGTTTATTATTGTCGCTGTTGCTTACTTCATGGTTTTTGTCGGTGGCATTAATGTTGGCAATAACTAAACCACTTGCCACTCGCCACCCATTATTGAGTTTAGTGCTGCTTCTTGTTTGTATGCTTCTTTTTGGTTTTGTTGTTGTTGTCTATGCTAGCTTTACACACAATTTGATTGTTTTGCCTACAACACAGCGGTTGCACTCAATGTCTATTTGCGTCAACGTGGTTACCGTGCACCACGTCATGTTGCAAGTTGTTTGTCTGCAACCGAAAGGCACACCAAGCGCCAACTACACACATACACACACAACTGCAGAGCTGAGCAGAGCATCGTTCAACAAAATATGGCTAGCAACATCATCCTTTAACAATTCACCGTCGGCAGTAGTGAGTTGACTTTGTCGTTGATCAACTCATTGCAGGATAATATTTCTATTACTTAACTGTTTGCAGAGCCAACAGTGTATTCGCAAGCCCCGCTGCCTCCTCTCCGAAACCATGTGACACTGTGCAGACGTTTACTGTGTTCCATATATATCAATAGATCTGTATATATGCAGGAACGTCTGCATGTTGCCATTGGTTCGATGAATTCAGCAAACGTTTGTATGTGTGTGCGTACGGTTGTGAGCACGTGTTGTTGCGCGACAACCCAGTCGTTAAGTGGCATTTTAATAATTTGTTGAACATGCATAATAATGATGGTTCGCAGTGGCGGCGGCGAGTGTTTAGTTACTAGCTACTGATGTTGCACGTTGCTGCACACACCCACCAAATCGCGCTCAATGTTGACAGAAACGTGATTTTCATTTTTAATCAGTTTTACTGCATCGATATACAATTTTTTTCTTTTTCTCAAAGCAATCTTTATTAAAAACACTTACAACAACTACAAGCAATTTAATTGAAGCAAAACAAAAATAGCCACTTTACTACTCGCACATGCTTGCCACGTATAAAAAATCAATGGCAATGTGGCGGGCACAGTTTTAATTAATTTGGCAGCTCATAAAGGTCTTTCTGCGAAAATATCGAGCCAGCAGCCTCCAGTACAAAGTCACTGGGGTGTGTGTACGAAATATTGTTGCCAACGACCTGCTCCGGCATGGAAAACTGTAAATAAAATTTACGAAAATTTCAAAGCACCTCTCTGCACCACTCAGGAAGTATGATAGAGTGTGGATGGGTCTGCACGCCAATTTAATTTGTTTAAATTTTTGGAAAATTGACTCTGCGCTAATTTCACGAAAATGTTATTAACTTTTTAATGAGAAATTTTTAATTATGAAGTATGAGAGGCAAGGTGCTGTTGGTAGAGAATATTTGGTATGAGTTCTTATTTTGTAGAAGAGGAAAAATAGTTGGAGAACACAAATGTTGGGAAATCAATTCTTTTTTTAAAGTATAAAATTTAATTAAATATAAAAACATTTTAGAAATGACAAACAAAATAACATAAACAAAAATTAAAGAAAAATATTTTTATTTGTTTAAATAGAAACGTTATAAGCAGCAGTATTTTCAGCGAATTATTGTTGTAGAAAATATACAAAGCGACTTAAAACTTAAAAATAAATGTTTAATGCGATTTTTGGGATTAAACATTTAGTTTTTTATGTTTTATTTTGGTACGTTGGTTTACTATTTTGTATTGTATCTAGGCAGGTCGTGCTAAAATTTTAAGTCGATTAGTCCAACCGTTTCTGAGAAATTTCCATCATCGGCTCTAAAAACCGCGTTTCGAAAAACACGTAATTGAAATTTTGTCAACCAATTACATTAAGTTAAAAAATTCACACAAATAGTACATTCATATTTGCGAAACTATTGCTGAATCAACTTCAAATTTTCGCAGAATATTCGCAAATAAATATTCAAGCAATATATTTGCAAATAAAAAAAAAACGATTTTTTGAAATGCAAAAGTGGTTGTAACCCCTTAAATCACTCTATTGTGTAATAAATATATTATTTTTTTTATCAAAATGAATTTTACTTCTGCTGTTGTATTGTTTCATGTTGTTTAATTTAATTATTATTTTTTGCAAAAATAACTTAGTTCCAAAAAATGTTTGTGCACATGAAGCCTATGTGCACTTAATTTAAGCCGTAAATAATATAAAAGAATGTATATCTATTCAGTTAAAACCATTTATTAGCCAAAATTATTATCTGTTTTTGTTTTTCTTTAGCTTTTTAATGTTTTTGATGTTTTTCCGTTAGGTTTTTAATTTAATTTAGAATATTTTAAATTTCCTGCACTCCACATTATTTGATTTTATTCTCTAGTATAAAAGTTTACTCTCACCCACAAATTTAAAAAGAAAATTTGCCACAGCAACCGTCGCTAAAAAGTTTCGAATAAAATTCTGTTGCACTATAAATTCTAAGTTTAAATATACGAAAAGCTTGCAATCCTCAAATATACATAAATAAATAAATATATCATGATCGGCTTTGAAACTAAACAAATTTGGTTTTTTGATATTTTTCAATTTCCAATTTTTTTTTTTTTTAATTTTTCGCAAACTGAATTCGTTAAGCTTGTGTCCGAATTGTTACTCAAAGCTTTGCAAATGAATGGAATATAAAATTTCCACAATCAACACTTTCACTACACACCAAGCTGCGTGCCACAATAGCGCCACGCGAATCAATGAAATCGAATATATTTGAAAAATACAAAAACCATTTTTTTCGCCAGTAGAAAAAGCTGTCACAGCAGCTTAGTGAGAAAAAAAAGCAAAGGACACAAAGCCTTGCAGTCAAAAACACAAACACGTTGCAATAATAAAGCCGCACACATTTAGACACCGCTACTAATAGTGGTGGAAGGTTAACGGAAGTGGTATAAATGTATAATAAAGAAAGCAAAAAAGATCTAAAATTATATAAATAAATGCGTGTGCTGCCACACACATAAAATATTTGCTATCTGCAACGCCAACATTGCTTAACCCTATTCAACTGGCAAATAGTTTGTTACCCATGCAACCAACACGCATACAACCATACACGAATTTACCGCCACGTTGCTTTTGTTTTTGTATATTTAGGCCACCGCACGCTCGTTTATAGTGAGATCTCTTTGTTTTTACCGCATTTCCGCAAATATTTTTTTTACCCTTTTCTTGCCACCAAACTATTTTTTACCGTTTGAACGATTTTTCCCATTTAACTAAAAAAAATTTAATTTATTTTTTGTATTCTCTTTGCAGCTCAGTATCAATCACCGCGTATAATCGAGCATCCAACAGATTTGGTTGTGAAAAAGAATGAACCTGCCACACTGAATTGCAAAGTCGAAGGCAAACCGGAGCCGACAATTGAATGGTTTAAGGTAAGTCCATGCTGTAGAAAATAAACGGTAACGGGGATAACAACGTCATGTGGCACACATAGCGGCATATCAGCATATATTTCTATAATATATATATATTTATATTGGTTTATACATATGTATATATGAAATTTATTACAAACTTGTAGGTATGTGTATGTGTTGCTCTTCGTTATTTATATACACTAGGCGCAAGAGCGCTGCAACACACATGAAAGTGTAGCTGTGTGTGTGTGATAGAGGATTACTGCCCGTCAGTGTATTAAATTCTCTACTTTGCCTGCATACACACTCAAATACACACATACATTGCTGCAGATGTGCCAAGCATTTTATTTAATTTTCTTCGCTTTCTCTTGCCGTCTTTTTGTTCGACTTTCGTTGAATAAAACAATTGAAAATGTAAATCCCGGCAATGCCATGGCAATAAAGTCGCTTACAATATAAATTGTAATAAATTTGAAAAGGTAGCGGTACATTTAACTATATACATACATAATATAAGCAGCAGCAGCTCACTGCAGGTGGCATTTTTGTAAGGATGTGCTGTAGGATGGCAACACTGGCTAGACAGTATTTGAGCTTTTCTAAGTCGTTAATGAATATTGAGTTGTGGATTAGTTGTCTGCAACAAAAACTGTATAGAATTATTAATTTATATTTTGATAGCTTGTTTTCAATTGTAGCCGTGCTGGGCCAAATCATTGATTTCTGTTATATATAAGATTGAAATTAATTTTCAATAAATATTAATTGATTGAAAACATTTTGGTTATTAATTATTTTAAATTATTTATCAACATGATTTTCTGCAATGTTCTATGTATTTTATATTCTCATTTCATCCAAAATCATCCTAGATGTAGGCAACAGTTTTTACGTATACTGTTTTCGACAGTTACTTGAGGGGCAGACCTAGTGTATAAACATGCTGAACTTTTAAATTCTTGTTTGACATTTTTTTTGAGCTACAGCTTTCGAAAGTGTAGGCACACACATACACAAAACTACATTTTTCAAATTGGTTGCTATTTTAACTCAAAAACAATTATTTCTACTTATCTGGTTTATATTTCGCGACAAAGACCTTACAATCAATTGTTTGAAAAATATTATTTTGGTGGATAAAAAGTCATACTTTTTGAGCAAAACTCGACATATCTTTTCAAATTTTGTCATTTTGGTAAATTTAAATTTTTACTTACAATCTTAGGTCACGGAATAGGCAATACTTTACAGCTTTAATATACTTTTTATATTTTAATTTTTAATCACGTTGAAGACCGGAATCATTGTAGCAGTTCATAGCTTTGCTTTAGTAATATTTTGAAATTCATTGTTTATATTCACTAATTGTGACTTAAGTAACCTTCATTCAGTAGTTTTCTTTAAAAAAATTCCGAAAAATCACCTTTTTAATCGATCATACTAATAAGGCATGCGTTGCCTACATAGGCAGATAAACTAAAATTTAGCAAAATCACACAATTATGATGTTGATTTTTAGGAAGTACAACTATGGTTTGCGTACTGAAAGTCGTATGTTAGTCATATTTGACCGCTTTAAATTTCCTATATCTTGCTTACTAAATTTCCAAAATAAAGAAAAATACCTGTAAAGTTGTAGTTGCGGATTTTGATTTATAATTTCAAGCATAAATAAAAACAATAAAAAAATAATAATAATTTTCGCTTTTTTTATTTTATTTTAAACGTAGCCTACTTTTAGGCTTAGTAAGAATATATTAGTGAGAACACGTACCTTTTTAAGCAATTATTTTAGAAAACCTATAGCTGTAGTTTTGGTATGAGCCAGGAAAAAAAACTATTACTTACTCTAATTAATTATTACCAAACTTGTTTTGATACTCGAATTTGTAATGAACTTTCAAGTAAAAGAAATATTTATATAAATATTGTACAACAATAAAATTGAAAACAATTGAAGAGTTTGTTTGGCGTCATACTGAGATTACTCAGAAAAATGTTTTTTTTTTAAATTCTTTTACTATCCATTTCATTTTGATTTATTAAAATTATATTTAATTTCATACCATGCCATGACTCGAGTTTAGTCTTGTTTCATCTAATGTTTAATTTAAAAAATTATTTATTCTTTTTACATACTATATACTATATATATATATACTATATATATGATACATAAAGCATAGTATTTTGTTGAGACTATGCCATTTTTAGATAATAATAATTTCAAAATACCACTTTTGTATAATTTTTAAATTCGTCTTACAATTAGATGACTAATTTTAGCTTACCGCACCGCTTGCTTTCACTGCAATTGTTTTGCGGTTTTTTCTTGAAAAATTATATCAAACCACAAAACAGAATAGAAAAATAAACGCACTTGTCGCAACAGCAGGCAAAAGTGTTTATGAGTCATGAAAACAAAAGTGCCATGCAACGCACACGTAACACACATTTCTTAGCTTGCCACCTACAGTGTAAATTTTAATTCAATTGCACCTGAATTTCACTTTTGCTTTGTCACCAGAAACACAAAAAGCGGAGCTGCGCAGTTAAACCGCAAAAGTTTGTAAAGTTAGGAAAAAAATGTGCGGTTTGTGTTTTGCAGCCTGATATCACCGGATGACTTAATTTCAAGTGGTGTGGTGAATGTTCCTTTGTATATATATATATATATGTACATATATGTTTATAAATAGTATTCCAAAACCGCATTCATTGTATTTTGAACCTACTATCAAAAATTAATTTTAGGTATGCTAAAATACTAGCTTCCTATCAATCTTTTTGTGATTAGTTTGAGTCTAGTACATAATGCATTTCACTGCTTTGAGTATAGTTATTGGAAATCTTATTCTCATACAAAAAAATATTATAATTAGTTACATAACTACTCACTTTGAAGCAAATCGAGACTGCTCCAGCATAACATTACACATTTACTAGTTGAGGACTAGTTGTAACTTTGCTACAATGCAAATTAACTAACAATAAACTAAACTTTAATTTTTTTGAGAACTATAATAATCATTTGGTTTTTCACCCAAAAACATTACATTTTAATAGCAAAATTTGCAAAATATTTTACCTTAATTAATTTAATTTTCTTTTTTTTGTTTAGGATGGCGAGCCGGTCAACACAAATGAAAAGAAATCGCATCGCGTGCTATTCAAGGATGGTGCGCTCTTCTTCTATCGCACGATGATGAGCAAAAAGGAGCAAGACAGCGGCGTTTATTGGTGTGTGGCGAAGAATCATGTCGGCAAGGCGATTAGTCGGAAGGCCACGCTACAAATTGCCGGTAAGTGTAAGAAGAGTGCAAAAAACAAAAAGAGCATATCGTTTTTTAATTAAAACCTAAATTTTACTCTTAAAAATTCAGAGCAAGAAGGGTGGGCAAGGCTCTCTGAGAAAATTAGTCGCTTTCCCCTGTAATTTGTCTTCTCACTTCTAAGTGCGCAAGCAATGTGTGAATTGAGTTTGGTATTTAACACTGCATTTGCAACCGTATTTTTAAGTGCTAATTTGTGGCGCCTGAATTTGTTAGCAAACTTGTTAGGTTAATTTCAATGAGTCGACTTCTTACACTACTTTTTCTTTCTTCTTTCTTTCTTAGTATTTAGTTTTGTACAAATTGTACACATTGAAATCAAATGTAAGACTATGGAAATAGAAAAAGGTCTCTCAATATTGCTAGTACTTCGATTCTATAATAATGTAGAAGTCTTCCTCATAGCCCGGTCTTTTGCAGACCTATGTTTTTGTAGGTGGTTGTCAAAAGAATACGCTTGAAAAAATTTAACAGAATTTCTTGAGTTTTGAGAAATACCTGCAGACGTTGTTAACAAATTCTTCAGCTGTTGTTATGGCGGCAGTGATCTCTGACGTAGATAAGAGAGTAGAGAGAAAATTAATTTGATAGAGATTGATGCTCTCTCTTGAAGTTACCATTGTAAAAACTTTGGCTGTCCTTCAAAGGGATAGGTGACCTATTTCCTCGATCTCAAAAATAGACAACATCACGTCACAAGAATTTAATTCAAGATAAAATACATAGTCAGTCTGTCCATAAAATACATGACTTCAAAGAAGAAGCAAATATTTTTTGTTTATTTATATCCAGATTTTTATTGAATCTCAGTTCCAGAAATCAATAGGCCCTCCGTTGTGCAAGGTGCCGATTTCTATTTAAATGACCTTCTTTGTTTGTTGTGGTTGTTTACCTATCAACTCTTTCAAAGTTTGAAATTCTGTGGAATATTTGAAACTATAACATATCTCATTCGCTCTCTAATGGAACTTCGAAATTTCAAATGATATAAAAAACAAAACTTTAATTACACCGTTAGAAGTATCTCTTCTATTGTTGTTGTGCAATATAAAACTTCAATCTCCCACCGTGGAGTCGTTGAAAGTTTATGGTTGATTTTAATGTTGTTGTTGAAAGATGGAAGATGACTTTTGCGGTAGAAATGATGAAAGTGAATTAAAGCGGAAAAATAGTAAAAATGACGAAATGAAAACAACAAAATGCGAGAGAAAAGTAATAAACACCGCCACAGCAAATAACAACAACTAAGTGCCAGCAAGTGCGTACAAACAAAGCCAGGAGCAAGCGCAGCAAAGCAAACAAACAAAAAGCCACAACAAATAACAAAACTTATGCAACAAAAACTCATCAAAATGCAGCGAAGCACACTTCGCTACAAAGTGAAAAAATAATCCAAAAAAAAAGTTTTTGAAAAAATAGGTAAAAAAAATTAGTTTGTTTATTTTCAAAGGATTTGCCGAAGTTCAGCGTGTATTTTGACCGCAAGCAAAGTGTTAAAGCTTTGAAAGTCGCACAGCTGGCAAGAGCAGCAGCGCAATTTAATTGCGTTGCCACACACACGTCGCTCAGTGATTGCTTGCAACAACGCAACTATGCTCAGGCACGTATGCACACAAACAGCTCGGCAGACATGTCAGTCCGCCAGTCAGTCAGTCCGTTAGTGAGTCAATCACTCACCTGACGTGGTAGTAATCGTAAAAGCGCCCACTACACCCATGGTGGCCGAAACGCCAACTTGCCAGTAAGCCCGTGCAATAGACACAATTTCACAACTTACGCCGCAGCTACCACGCTCCACTATGGCTCACTGCTGCTGCGTGGCTATGAATGAGCCTGTTCTTTGCTGAATCAGTGATCAGTCAGACGCTAGACAGATTGTTTGAATTTACTTTGCATTTTGATGAATTATTCTACAAGGTGAATCGTAAATGTTTGCAACAACAATAGCAACAATTATAATTAAAAGCACTTCAGCACTTTGGAGACTTTGTGGGTCAAGTGGTAGCAAATTGTTGAATTATTCTGAAATGTACTGATACTTATACTCGTATTTGTAATTATGTTCGTTTTCTGATTTATTTTTTATTATACCTTGAAAATGGTAACCACGAAGTTTGTAACACACAGCAGAAAACGTTGGAGATCCTATCAAGTATATATAAATTATCAGCCCGACGAGCTGACTCGATTTAGCAATGTCCGTCTATCCGTATATCTGTATAAACGCGAGCTAGTCACTTAATATTTGAGGTAGAGATCTGAAATTTTTCCCAATTCGTTTCCTCCCCAAGAAGCTGCTCATTTGTCGCAATCGCCTATAGCGGATCACTATAGCATATGGCTAACGTATAAAATGGTCAGTCAAAAACAAGTTCTTGTATGGAAAACTTTTTATTTATGAAGGATATTATGGCTTTGGTGCAGCCGCAGTTAATTTTTTTTTCTAACTTTCTTTTAATTTTATAACAATACTAATATTTATGTTCATGCGCATATTTATACTTATGCCCATAGTCATACACTGATTCATACTTGTATGCCAACAACAAAGAATAATCGTTTAAATTTTTCAGAGTACTCATTTTCATATCGGTTCATATTCATATTTACATATAGTTATAATTTGACTTTTACATATATTCCTGTTAAAGATCATATGAATCAAAATATTCTTCTAAAAAATTTTCTGTCTACTTATCTACATAAGAATACTCACATTTCTACTAATAATCATATTCTGACTCCTACTTTTTCTCCTAAAAATGTTTGTGAGCACCCATTGTGGATACTCATACTCATACCTACATATACTCCTATTCATAGTTATACTCTTATTCATACTTGTATACTATAAAGGGCCATATGCATAAAAAAAACTTCTACTAAAAAATGTACTCATTCATATATTCATACTTATACTTATACTCATACTTATACTCATACTCATACTCATAAGGTTGCATTCGACTTTAAAGACCACACTTCGCTTCCTAAATAATAATCCCCCAACAGCTAAATTTAAAAAATGAGCTCGCTAATTTCCCTCAATCTCAACTACTCAACGACAAACATGTTTCCCCCCCCCCCTCCACCCGTGCGACATGAGAATCGTTGAAAACCACAGATTTTCTGTGACAAAAATACTTCAACAAGTCAGCAACAAAAAGGAAGACGACGCCGTTGAAACACAAGTGACACGACTGACATGTTGCAAGGCAGCATAAAGAAGGCGACACCGAGCTTATGTCAGCAGCAGTCAGCAAAATATGGAAAATAAAAAGTCGGAAAAAATAAAGCGTAAAATAAGCACTGAGCAACTGTGCGACAAATACTTAAAAATATGTATGTGTGGCAAAAACAATGAAAAAAGCGAAAATTTTAATTTTACGCCGCATTAAAATTTGTCGCTAATGTCACATCACTTGCACAACACGCGGTCTGCTTTTTGAGCGCACACCACACTGTCCTGCCGCCTCCCCCTCTTTTTATACGCAAATATCATTTCTCAACGCATTAAAAATATATAGTTTTTGTTGTTGTGGTGGTGCTTGAGATTTGTGTCGTTAGTACATGCGACAATTGATGTTTCCTAAGTGTTGCCATGATAGATTTATGCCGCATTAATGACCCCCCAATACGTCCCCTTTGCAAATGTACAGAATATAGTCGCTTCGTTGTGGCATATACACACACATAAATACATATAACTATTTATGTTCAAAAGTACATGAGGATGTGCGCCATGTGCGTCACTTGGCGCTTCTTCCGTCTTCCTCCTTGTATTTCTACAATATTTTGCGCTTATTCCATGTTCTGGCTGTCTGTCTGTCCGCTTGCTTATTTGTCGTGCTAGCAAAAGTGTCAACAAATGTTTGATTTTATATTCTTGTCGGCTCATAAGTGCTTTTGAGCAAATAAATTTGATTTTTTCCACAATGCAATAAAAAATAATAAAAATAAATGTTTCTCAATAGTCAAGCGTGTGCATGGTGTCTAAAGAAAGAAATGAAATAATTCTGCATTAAATTGGCATGAGATACTCATATATGTATGTGCGTGTATGTGTTTGTGTGCGTCTGCTTGTGAAGTGTTGTTGTGCCAGCAAATGTGTGTCAATAAGTTGAAGTGTTGAACAAATGAGTTAAGTACTTATGTGGACTATTTACTGCTATGCGTTATGAATGTGAGTCAATACATGTGTAAACACATAAAATAATTCCAGTGTTTATGTGTGTGTATGTGCACTTATTTTAAAGCAAACCCATATTTACACTCGTACTTTTATTGACTGCAACGAGAATTATGTCAATAAGTTTATGTGTACTTCATGTTCAAATGCTTGATTTACATACTTATCTATAGATATGTGTATGTATGTATGTATATTTGAAATTTTTTTACATATGTATATGTTATTTGTTGTGAGAAAATTTTCAATGCTTACAAAAGATTCCAGAGTATGTATATTATTAGTATGAGTATGTAGCAGACATATGTTTTAAAATATTTTATAGTAAATTACTTAAGCTCTGTTTAGCAATGTGTGAAATAGAAAATAAGAAAACATTTTCATTTAAAATTTTTTTAAGTAGCTTTTTATAACTATGCGTATAATATACTAAAGTATCTTAAGACCGACCGCACAGGTGTAAAGAAAGATTTAAAATTTTTTTTTTTAGTTTTTCTTTTATATTATTGCTGTTTGTGCAGTGCCAATTATCTCACAGAAATTTAAGAGAAAAGTTGTGTGATAATTAAAAAAAAAATTGTTATTTTTTCTTTCACAAATACAACACGTTGTACTACTTACCCTATAATAGAAATGTCTTTTCAGACTACTTATTGAACAATTAAGTGAAGCTTAGTATATTATCCTCTAATTGTGTAGGAGAAAAGCTGTGTATGTGTGTTTGAGTGTCTGCATGTGGAGTGTTGTTGTGACAGCAACAATTGTCTTATACTTTGCAGTT